GTATCTTCCTGTTGCTTGTTTTAATTTCCACTTCTCTAATGTCAATCATGTTGAATATCTTTCACATGTTCATTTCCATACATGTATCTTCCTTGGTTAGGTGTCAGTTCATATCTTACTCCCATTTTTTTTTTTTTTTTTTTTATTTTATTTTTTTTTTTTATTAAAAAGTTTATTTTTACATCATTTTTCACATTTTTTTTTTCATCTCAATTGTAATCCCCATGGGTTTCCCATCACCAAATCACCCCTGTGCCACCACCATAGTCCCGTGCATTTCCCTCCCTTCCCCTCCCCCCGTTTTTGATCCCATTCCCACTCCATCCCCACAGAATGTCTCTGATCTATGGTTGTTCATTATTTTTGTTATTTTCTCGCCTGGTCCATTATACTCCTGCTATGAGTGAAACCATCCGGTATTTTTCTTTCTCTTTCTGGCTTATCTCACTCAGCATGATCTTTTCCAGCTCCATCCAAGTTGCTGCAAAAGACATGTGTTTCTCTTTTTTGGTTGCTGAGTAATATTCCATTGTATATATGTACCACATCTTCCTAATCCAGTCATCTACTTTTGGGCATTTGGGCTGCTTCCATGTTTTTCCAATTGTAAATAAAGCAGCAATAAACATGGGGGTACAAGTATCAAAGATGGTGAAATTTTAAGGTCCAAAGATAGTCTTCCTTTCATCCTTTCTTACTTTTCTATTCTACTTTTATTTTTAGTTGAATATATTATATGAGGAGAAAGTTTCAGGTACCCACTTTTATCTACATCTATGGATACCCAGGTGTTTGAGTGTCCACAAGGTAGATTGATAGTGGCTGTTGAGTACATTTTTGTCAACCTGTCTGCTACCTGGTTGATTGCAGTATGAAGAAGTATGGGGAAGATAATTTTGACTTTTAAGGCTTCATGCTTATGGAATGAGACACAGCTAAAGTTTTTGTTTTGGGGTGTTTGGAGTTGTAAATGCACTTTTAGCATCATGAGCTCATGCTTTCTGTGACTATTTTAAGACTTTAGTTGGGATGACGGTTTTTCTCCCAAGTCTTGTTTCTGGCCTCTGAGTTGCCATCCTGACCCAAGACCAGAGCTTGGATCTATTCTGTGTTGGCTGCTCAGAGAAAAGTTCTGTGCAAGCTGTTCATCAGCTCTGATTGCTTATGAGGCTGTTAACACCTTAGAAACCCACTAAGTTGCAGCTCCCTGCTCCACGATCATTTGTCAGAGCAAGAGTCCAGGTATTTTCTGCGATGCAACATAAACAGAAGTATTTTTCCTGCTATCTGTTTCTTAGTTAGCATTTAAGAATGATAATGAGTTCAGGAAACTATAAAAATGAAGAAAAATCAAACATGTATCAAAGCAAACAGACAAAACTACTCAGCTGCCCTGTGAGGACAGCCCGGACGGAGGATTGACAGTAGAGATAGTGGACTTGGGACTGGGGCCGAGGTCCAGGCTGAGCCGCCTGTGGAGCAAGGCCAGGATTAGCAGAGAGTCTGCTTTTCTATGTGGCATACACGTGAGACTTCAGAATTGTAGAACTGGCAGAGACACTGCCCTACCATCTTGGAGTGTGAGTTTATGACTGGCCTCTGGCTGACGCATCAGTTAATACTATCATCCTCAGCTGCAACTGAATGCTGGGAACATGGCGTAGAGTGGGGTGTTCTCACGGGTTCATGTCCGTGTTCTCTGGTCAGGTTTCCTCACTGACTGAGTGATTGCTTCTTGGCATCTGAATTAGTGTCAGTCTGCATCAAGACAAGCCCAAAGAGGTGAATTCTGGTATTTTGGAGTCTCCTCGCTGTTTGCTTAATCTTGCCCAGAAAACTGATGGTAACACATCAATCCATGGAGTCCATAGATGTGTGCAGAATGCACTGTGGAAGAGAAATCTCAATGGGAATTCACTGTTTCAAAATGGGAATTATGGGATGTTCTCAGGGGCCCTCGAGATTCTTTTTGTTTGTTCGAATTAGGGGCAGAATGACTGTTTCCTTCTTGGAGTAGAGGTGAATAGCAATTCCAGACATGTGGGGTTTGGGTTAAAAGGTAGAAAATCTTACATAAGCTGGCTGAAAGTGTAAAGGCATCCCTTTACTCATTAGATGCTCACCAAGTACCGAGCCCTCTTGAAGCGCCAGGAAGGAGCACCGCTCTCCCGGAAGCAGTCTAACGGGACACTTCCTTCTGCGGTGGCCATATAGGGTCCAGAACCGCCCCGGTTCATGGTCTCTGTATTATTATTTCTCACTCCCTGTCTCCAGGAGACAGGGCTGGCTTCTCTTTTGTTTGTGACTGTGGGGCTGAGTCATCCCTTCACAGCAAGTGTTGCAGAATCACACACCATGTTCCAGTCTGGCCCCGCTCCTGCCGGGCTACCCGCAGGCCTAACAGCGTGGTGGCCAGAATACCGGCCAGCAGCGCAGATGCTGCACTGGTGGCCGTGCCATGTGGTTCCGGGCGTTTCTGTGGCTACAAGATGCTTTTGGGGGCGGCCCTCTCTCGGTACCTACCACTAAGAAGCCCCAAATCCCTTTTTTAAAAACCTGAATTTGCCCCTATAAAGGCAGCTGGGTCTTAGGAAGAATAATGTAAACCACCCTCACCTCAATAAAAGTAGCATAATTAAAACAAACAGAAAAGGATATTGGTCCCACAGAGGGTCTTGACAGCTTAGCTGATGGTTCTGTTGCAGACACAAAGTGGAAACCCTGGGATTTATGTTAGAATTTAGGAAAATTTGTCAAATAAATAGCAAACAGAATTCTTCCTGAAAAAAGTTTATAAACAAGCCTGATTTTGAGATTTTAGGCTTTTTTTCTCATTAAAGTCCTTTAGTGGTCTGAATTCTAAACAACTTACTTTGGTTTTGAGTACTTAGGCTTTTTTCCCGATGAAAGTAATTTTGGTTGTTTTTTTTTTTTTAAGATTTATTTATTTATTCATACATATAGAGCTGGGGTACAGGCCAGCGATGCGGAGGGTGAGAGGATTCACCAGAGACAGAGAGGGGAGCAGAACAGGCAGATCTACAAAGTACACCGCTGAGGGGAGCAGCGGGTGGGTCAGGAGAGGTCTGCCGCGCCATGTGGATCTCCTCCAGGCAGGCAGGGATCGAACTCATGCGGAAGTAGCTTAAGCTTAGTGCTGTGCTTTAACCCGCTGCGCCACCAGGAAGGGCCCTTAATTTTGGTTGTTTTATAGCTTCTAAAACTTTTTATCTTTAAATTTTACTTGTAACTATAAAATTTATATCTGAACAAAATCTAGGACATTTTTGCAATTTTAAAATAAATATTTTGAAAAGCCGTTCTCATCTATGATTCTCTACTGTGTTATAACTTTCCCTGTGATTCTCTTCTAATTACTGTATACAATTATACTGTTGGCATTTTTTGCAGTTGTATTTACTACTTTAAGCCTTAGAAGTCCTCACCCACTTCTTGAATGCGCCTCATTGAAGTGATTCTTACTCAGCAGTATGACTCAAGACGGTGAAAGGGGGTGGTTTTGAACAGTAGGGTGACCGTCAGATTAGTCTTCTGACCAGAAAACATTCCTTGCAATTTGAGGCCCAGCTAGAACAGTGCATTTTTTCTTGGTCTAGGCTTGAATAGAGAGTAGGTAGATTTCTGCAGTGTTTGCTCAAATGGTGGGATGCTAAATGCACTTTTAGCTTTGGGGGGTTCACAGCGGCCAGCCAAGTGAACCAGGTTAGGTAACCCGCCTGGGAAGAAAGCTTTAGTTCTTTGTGGGGGGAAATGAGACCTTTGTGCTTTGCTGGGAATGGGGATGTTAATGCCCATGTGCACACACACTCAGCACACACTCACACACAGCAGAGACAATAGACAATAGAATGATAGACTATTTCCCTGTCTTGTCTTGTCTAGAGAAAGAAGATCAAAAGGCAAAAGTGTCCCAGATTTTGATTTTTAAAAACCTTTCACTAGAAATACCTGTTTCTCAGATAAGGAGTCAAAACAATTAGTTTTCAGAATTATTCTGAAAGAAAATAAACAAATGGCATATCTTTTCAATTCCCAAAAATGTTTCAACCTCTGACAACTCTTAAGGACACAAACTTGAATAAATGTGTGTGGAGTTCTTTTCTAGTCCTATAAAATATGCCAGAATTTTGTGGAGGATTGAGTTTGAGCTTGCAGGCACCCAGCAGCATCCAGGGCTGCCAACAGGCATGAGTCCCGGGCCACTGACAGGCGGGAGTCCCAGTCCGTGCAGGCCTGGGAAAGCCAGGCCGCACAGGCTCAGCCCAGTCAGCTTCGACGTCTTTCAGAAAAAGAGCGCACACAGCACAGGCTGCCTGCGAAGGGCCTGGGCAAGGCTTGTCTCTAAACCATCATCCTTGAATGTCACTTCAGGGACTTTGGGTATATTGGTTAGGATTGGTTTCAGGCATAACCAGCTGTCAGAGAAATGGTGCTTGCTTAATTAAGTATGACAGGTTAATTTTGTCCCCCCTTACATAAAAGAAGCCTGAAGCCAGGCAGCCGAGGGCTGCTGTGGCAGTGGTGTGGGCATCGGGGATCAGGCTCTCTCTATCGCCCTTGATGCTGGTTTCCACCGGCCGCTTTGCCTTGTGGCTGCTGGGTGAGCGCTTCTGATCTAGTGGTCCCTGGAGCCCTCCCTACTTACTGGCCTCACCTTTCAGAAAAGGACGTGACCTTCCCAGGAGAGCCAGGCCAGGTGATCGTGAGACCAGGGGTATTACCAAGACTTTGACTAACGCTTCGGGAGACCTGCTAAAGGGCCATCCCTTCTACTTGTTTCTCATTCTCTAGCTGAGGACCCACCACAAAGGCTGCCCCAGGGAGTGCTGGCAACTGAGAAGAGAAGAGGACAAATGATAGGGGCAACCCAAGCCCAGCTCCCCCATCATAGATCTGAATTTTGGTCTCAGCGCAGGGCTTCGGGGAGGCAGGGGTTGATTCTTCCTGTGGACTGCTAACCTGAGCCCTCTCCCCTCCAGGAAGTGGACATTGTGGTAGCGCCATGCCAAGGCCTCCGGCCCACAGTGGATGTTCTGAGTGATCTGGTGAATGACTTCTTGCCTGTGATAACCTATGCACTCCACAAAGATGAACTCTCTGAGAGGGATGAGCAGGAGCTTCAGGAAATTCGCAAGTATTTCTCCTTTCCCGTGTTCTTTTTCAAAGTGCCGAAGCTGGGTTCAGAGATAATTGACTCCTCTCCCAGAAGAACAGAGAATGAAAGGTCACCCCTTCATCACCAGCTCATTGACCTGGGCTATCTGAGCAGCGGTCACTGTAACTGTGGGACCCCCAGCCAGGACGCAAAAGCTCAGAGCATGTTGGTGGAGCAGACTGAGAAACTGAGACACCTGAGCACGTTCTCACACCAGGTGCTACAGACTCGCCTGGTGGAGGCAGCTAAGGCCTTGAACCTGGTGCACTGTTGCTGCCTGGACATCTTTATCAATCAGGCCTTTGACATGCAGCGGGACCTGCAGATTACTCCCAAGCGTCTGGAATACACACGAAAAAAGGAGAATGAGTTGTATGAATCCCTGATGAACATTGCCAACCGAAAGCAAGAGGAAATGAAAGACATGATTGTTGAGACACTGAACACCATGAAGGAGGAACTTCTGGATGATGCCGCCAACATGGAGTTTAAAGGTAGGTCCCTGTGAGCTGGAGGGGGCCAGGACGCCCTGCCTACAGGCCCCTCACTGTCACGCCAGGAACCACCTTTAGTCATTTAGCTAAGATGGCCACCTCCCGGATGCTCCCACTGCCCTCCCTTCCCAGCACTTAGCCCAGCTTTGGTAAATTCGTCCAGCCGGCCTTCTTTATTCTCTGGTTTAAGTCTGTATCCTTGACTCTCGTGGTGTGGGAGAGGAGCTGCTTGGGGTTGTGCTTTAACCTTGACCTTCACCTGCTTTGTTTACTCTTTTGTGTTTTCTTTTAAGGTTGCTCCTGCAACCCAAATCAGGAGGATTTCCCCAGTGTTACTTTTTGTGGGCTGTCCTTCACAAAGGGCTCTTAACAAAGCTGGACCGAAGTGACAGTTCAGGCTTTTTGGTGCTGGAGGTATAGATGCTGCTGGCTTTGCATGATGGTTACTGCATAAACCCTGGGTGTCAGTTCAGCCTGGCTCCACTGTCTAGCAATTAAAGTGGCGTGGTTTGGAGATTTTGATTTAGGTTCTCAGTCGCAATGATTTCATCTGAAATACTTGCTGTATTTCACTTTCTTATTTATGTTCTTCTGACTATTTTCTAAATTCCTAGAGTTAAAGCAGAATAACATGTAGGTCTTACTCTCTATCATATCCTTTGTAGCAAGTGCCGAGACTTGTGCACAGTACATCTTTGGAGAATGGGGAGTGTGTGGGTGGTGGTCTACATGTTACAGAAATACAAAGATATAGTTGACTTTAGCAAGCACGATTTCTTATAGGTATTTCTCAAGATGAGCAAAGATACCACTTTGCTGAAATCCCACTGTAGAAAGGAGTTTCTGAGAAACACTTTTCTGGCAGTGGAAATCTCCTGAACATTAAAAGCCCTGGAGCATGAGTGCAGTTCCTAACGCACAGAGCCGCAGCTGATAAAGACTGACAGGTGGCAGGATGCTTGACTGTGATGTGCCAGCCATGCCATGCTTGGTGCCTGGGATATAGTGACTAGTACGGCAGATGTGGGATGTCTGGGAACAAGCAGGTCCGATGTCTGCTGTGAACTCTGTGGTAGGTTTATGGGTCTGCTCACCTAGGTGGCTTTGTGCCAGGCGTGACTATATCTGCTGCTTATCTTGTTCTAAGGCCTTTCCGGTGTTCTGAAGGCAATGATAAGTAGTTTAGAGGAGCGTGTCCTGTGGAGCCACGTTTCTGTGGCTAGTTCCTGCTTTTAAATAAAGGTAATACGTTCATGCTAAGTGTTATGAAACATACTTAATAAAAATATGGTACTGGCCCTCCATGGTGGCACAACTGGTTAGGACACAGCACTGCAAGCTGGTCACAGCCTCTTCAGTGTGAGTTCGATCCCCCACCCTGGAGGTGACCCACAGCGGAAGACTTTTCCTGACCCGCCCGCTGCTCCCCTCAGCAGTGTATTTCAGCCAGCCTCCCTGTTCTCCCCACTCTGTCTCTGGTGAAGCCTTTCACTGCCCCAGCATCTCTGGCCTGCACCCCAGGTCCGTATGCATAAATAAATAAATCTTTAAAGAAAATATGGTACTTATATGCATATCTGGGCCTTACGAGAGGTCAAAGGTGCTGAGCCACTGTCATCTAGTCCCCGCCATCCAGTCCCACCCAGACCCTTGCTCTTTCACTTAACTTCATAGCTTAAGATCTCTCCATCAATGTGCATATAAATTTGTCTTCTAGCTGGACCCCTATTGATAGGCATTAAGTTTGTTTTTCTACCCTCAACCCTCCCTCCCCCCAGCTATTATAGACTATACCACATTAGTCTCTTTTGTACAGATTCGTCTCCAGGACTGGTAAGGGTGTATTTCTAGAAAAGTAAATGTCTGGCAGCAGAATAGATAGGTCAGAGGGTATGTATGGTTAAGTTACTTGTTCAGTGCCTTTCAGATTGTGTCAGTGTCACTCCCCCTTCCGTAGAAGTGACCTGAGAGCTGTTCTCGGCGTCCTGTCAGGGTAGCCACCTGAGCTCAGAGGCACATGGCCCCGGTCACATTCAGAGTTTCGAGCCACTGTGTCTTTTATCACCGCCAGCTCCTGGCCTCCTCTTCGGAGCTACTTAGCTAATTTCTGTGCCTCCATAGATGTCATTGTTCCCGAGAACGGAGAACCAGTGTGCCCCAGAGAGATCAAGTGCTGCATCAGACAGATCCAAGAACTCATCATCTCTCAGCTTAACCAGGCTGTGGCCAACAAGCTGATCAGCTCGGTGGATTACCTGCGCGAGAGCTTCGTTGGCACCCTGGAACGGTGTCTGCAGAGCCTGGAAAAATCTCAGGATGTCTCGGTTCACATCACCAGTAATTATCTCAAACAGGTACTCAAATACCACGCCACAGGTAACACATGAAGCTAAACCCACACAAGGCCTGATCCAGGCTAGCCAAGAATTCCCCTTTAGGCTTTTGACTGGTAGTTTGACATGTTGCTTCCCCTCCAACATGACCATTGTGGGTGGGAGCTGCTTTGAAGCTGCAGTTGAAAGGAAGGTGATGAAGATGAAGGAGGCCCCTCACAAACTAGATAATCCGCCTGTGTTGACTCTGCATGAGGCCACTTGGGAGCTTCAGGTTGAACTTTGGTCCTTTTTCTCCTACTTTTTGTCGAGGAAACATGACTTAGTTCCAGGTGTGCCTCTGCCTGTTCTGCATTCAGGTCACCACGAGCAGTCCAGCTGTGTCCTTCACCGTAGGATGTCCTTATTGTCCCGGGTTACCCGCCCTGTCCCTGAGGGTTAGGTTCTTGAGATAAATATCACATATTGCATTTTTCAAATAGCCACTCTGCTCAGGCACATTGATTGTTGTGCGTTTGTTTTCTTTCAGATCTTAAATGCTGCTTACCACGTTGAAGTTACATTTCACTCAGGGTCCTCAGTCACTAGGATGCTGTGGGAGCAAATCAAACAGGTAGAGACTGCTTAGAGAAAAAGCTTCAACTCATAGCTGGCTCACATGAACCTCAGTCACTTATAGAGAACTGACACCGTGGGCTTTCGGGTAGTTCAGGGAGGCCTTTGCCTACATGAAAGTATTCTGGGTTTTGCCTGTTCTAAAATAAATATTAACATCACCCCTCTTGGCTCATAAATTGGTGTGTTTAAATGACTTTACGGAGCTGTAAGACTCCACTTTACCAGTGTTTTCATTTTTGATGCCCCCAACCCCAGCCTATGTTTTTGTAGAACCAGACAGATTTTGTTGCTAGAGGCCGTAAATGTGATTCCTTTTTCTGCATGTGATCTCGCTCTTATGTGGAGTTATTTACCGACCTCAGAAAGGAATTTCTCCCTGGCACTGAGTTTAATGTTTTGAGGTTTGTGAGCACATAGACTAGGGCCGGTGGCCTTTGATGCTTTCCTTTGAGCCGAGTCCTGATTTTGAGGTCATGGAAAAGTGGGTCCTGGCATGACATGGCCCCTGCCTTAAGAGCCTGCTCCTCATGAGCGAGTTACCCAGAAAAGGAGGATGTTGCCCATCCCTCAGTGCTCACAGCTGTCCTTATCCTGACAGATCATCCAGCGCATCACGTGGGTGAGCCCACCTGCCATCACTACAGAGTGGAAGAGGAGAGTGGCCCAGGAAGCCATTGAGAGCCTCAGTGCCTCCAAGCTGGCCAAGAGCATTTGCAGCCAGTTCCGGACGCGGCTCAATAGTTCCCATGAGGCTTTTGCAGCTTCCTTGAGGCAGGTGAGTTTGTAGGATAGGAGATAGAGGTGGACTCAGCAGCGGCACACCTCAGCAATCGGGGAGCATTTTGCTGTACAATTGTTTCTAAATCATCAGTATTTTCTGTTCTTTTAAATGATAATATATTACAGGAAGCTTCATCAGTATATTTTCCACGTGGATCTTTTTCTAGCTGGGGCAAAGGGGGAGGGAGTTCATTTAATTTCTCATTTCACTGAGTAAGGAATGAAAATTGAGAGGTAAAAATTTTATACAAGTTAATATAGCATTTTATGAATGAATGACAGAAAGGGTTGACTTTCCAATTTTTATACTAGTTCAGAAGCAAGTGATATCTACTTGTCACTGGGGGGTGTGTACGTGTTGGGGGCAGGGACAGAAGTTATGCATCCAGAGGAAAATTACCACCTGCTGAGAGCCTGGCGTGTGTCATTCGCAGAGCTGAATGTTACATATACCTTATTTAACCCTCACTATCATCCTTAGGAGGTAGTTCTGCTATACAAGAGGTAAGGAAACCGACACTAGTTATTGGTAAAGCTTTTATGTCTTTTCTGATTTCCTTCCAGTTGGAAGCTGGTCATTCAGGCCGACTGGAGAAAACTGAAGATCTGTGGCTGAAGGTGCGGAAAGATCACGCCCCGCGCCTGGCCCGCCTTTCTCTGGAAAGCCGTTCTCTACAGGACGTCTTGCTGCATCGTTAGTTCTTTTTTATTCCCAAGTAAACTGGAGGATTCTGCATAGCTCACAACCTCATGTCCAACTGGGAGGACTCTCCCAGTGTCTAAAGCTACTTTCTTGTGACGCTGCATAAGCAGCCTCTGACATTTCTTAGTTCCCAAAGTCTGTTTGGCCTTACCATTTATGTAGTTCAGGTAACAAGAGCAGAGTTTATTTAAATCAAACCAGTTAGGTTACTTTCTGTGGCTTTAGGATGATGCCAGAACTTCTTCCCTTGGCATGATTACAGCTTCCTACTTTTAGACAGTTCCACAGCCAAGCATTTTTGGAATGTTGTCCAGCGAGCCTCCTTCCTCCTGCCTTACCTCTGTTTCTCTTGCTCACAGGGAAACCTAAACTGGGACAGGAGCTGGGCCGCGGCCAGTATGGCGTGGTGTACCTATGTGACAACTGGGCGGGGCATTTTCCTTGTGCCCTTAAATCAGTTGTCCCTTCAGATGAGAAGCACTGGAATGACCTGGCATTGGAGTTTCACTACATGAGGTAGATTGTGGTCTGTTCTTTAGGGAGAGAGTTCCAGAGAACCCAGAAACCTGGTCTGTTTTGTACCAAGAGCTCTAGCACACCTTGTCCCCCCTGACCGGGTCTCAGAATATTAAAGGCTATTTTTGCATCTGACTTTTCTGCTTCTCCTTCCGTCACCACCCTGCTTCCTCAGATTACTCCCTCCGTTTGTGTTCTTCCTCAGCTGTGAAGGCCTATTGACTTTTATTTTCCATGCTTCTCTGTCCTTGTCAGAGGTCACCTTCAGCACGGAAGGCCGCTCCCTCCGAGCTTGGGCTGAGCGCGGCCTCCAGGCTGTCCCTTCCCAGGTGGCTGCTGTGCAGTCCGAGTCGGCCTGGGCCCAGCCCTGTCTTCTCCCCCAGGTCTCTGCCAAGACATGAGCGCCTGGTGGACCTGCACGGCTCCGTCATCGACTACAGCTATGGCGGGGGCTCCAGCATCGCCGTGCTGCTCATCATGGAGCGGCTGCACCGGGACCTCTACACGGGGCTGAAGGTGAGGGGCCGCGGGCCCGCTGCGGAGCCGGCTCCCCACAACTGCGTCTCCCTGCTTCGCATCAGCTTCACACTCGGAAAATACCGTGGGCCTTATCAGCTTTGCTATCCTCTTTTCTAAAAAACTTAAAAATTTTCTCAGAATCTTAAGAAAGGCAGAATTAAATTGACAGAGGAATAGTGAAATGTGTGGTAAAAAAAACCTCTTACGAATCTATTTTAGACTCCCTCTGTACCCAGAATACTATAACTCACCAGTTTACCCCTGTGCTGCTGAAGCTCTAGACTACTTAGAAGAACAGAAAATCTGGCTTCTTGTACTTCTGCGTTCTCTCCCTTTTTTTGTTCTCAGCAGATAAAATTTTTGTGGTTGAGCAGATTTGTCAATGACTGCTTGCGCAAGCCCCTGTGTCCAGCACCATGGGGGATATCAAAACGTGTAATTGCTGGGGCCTTTTAAGATAAGTCAGAAAAGACTTGTAGCAGTGTGGCGTCTGCGTCTGACAAACACAGCTTGACGTGTGCCCGGGGCAGTTGGAAGGAGTGGCCGCGTCAGGAAGGCCTTGCAGGCTGAAGCTAGAGAGACCAGGAATGTTTAGAATCCCCAAGGATTTCAAATTCTGAGAAGCTATTGGAAGATTTTATTTGATTGAAAGTGAAGTATGTCAGTTGCTGTTTAATTTCCCTCATTTAAAACAACCATCAAAAGTCGTCTGTTACCTCCTATGTTGGCAAAAGCTAACCCCAGAGACCTGGGTTGGTTTCCTGCCACGTGGAAACTCCCAGAAGTAAAGTAGAAGGAAACTGGGCGATTACTTCAAGAACCGTGAGAGATCAGTGTGATGAGCAGGACACCTCTGCAAGTAGCCGCCCTCTTCATTCCAGAGACTCAAGGCTCAGTGTGGCTGCTTTTCTAGAGAAACATTTCAGCTTTTTGCTTCGTGATGTGGCACCAGAATTCAGGAGACCCTAAATCAGAGGCTTGGTAGAGGCAGGATGAGTGACTTTGGTATTTGAACCCATAAAACAAAACCTGGGTTAACCAAGCCGACAAAGCCACAGACATAAATGTGCCTGAGGGGCCTGAAGTGCTGTGTGCCTCAGCGCAGTCTCTGCGTGTGTGGGGCTTAGGAATGAGCTGGTGCCTTCAGGTGCCTGGGCCTCTCCTGGTCACGTTTGGGGATTGTCTGCGAGAGGTTTTGCCTGCTTTAGAGCTTCCCCTTCCTTGCTTTTCCTCCTCTTCCCTCTTACTGCTTTCCTCTTCCTTTATTTTCAATCCACATTTCTGTCTTTGTGTACCCCAGTGCAGACACTCTTTCTGCACCCCACGGAGGAAATTCAGTTTATTCAGACAAGTTAGCGACATTAGCTCTTTTGTATCCCCAAGGCTGGGCTGACTCTGGAGAAACGTTTACAGATAGCCCTCGATGTGGTAGAAGGAGTCCGTTTCCTGCACAGCCAGGGACTTGTCCACCGTGATATCAAACTGAAGAATGTGCTGGTAAGTGAGAGCTGCCTCCCCAGAATAACACCCTGCCACTGTGCAGAGGAAGCCACCCCTTCGGGGGGTACATGTTATGTACCTGGTCCCAGGAGGGCTGGTGGAGTGGCAGGAGCTTGGTTCACACCTGAGCAGGGGTGCTCCACAGGCATAACTTACATGGGGGGTGTGGGCGGGTTTCACGCCACCACATGTGAGCAGAGAAGCTGACAGAGCAGTGTGGCAACAAGCGCCATGCCCTGCATTTGACTTGTATTCTCGCCCCTCTTTCTCCTGCGGACTCAGTCTCTGTATGTCTCTTTCTCCTTACCCTACTCCCACTTTCTCTTGAACTATGTGAAAATTGATAACAGATAACACTTTGTTCCTAAATACTTCAAGTTGTATCATCCAAAAAAAGGACAATGTTCTTTGTAATTAGAATGCCATCATTGCACCAAGACATTTAATGTTACTATATTGCTATCAGTTAATATTATATTAACATATTCCAGTTATCCCAAATATGATTGGTTTGTTTGATCCAGCCTCCTACCTAGGGATTTTAGAGTATATTTTGTTGTCAGTTTCTTTAGCCTCCTATAACCTAGTCTAGCCATTTTTAAAAAAGATTTATTTATGCATTAATGCAAAAACTGGGGTATAGGCCAGAGGTGCAGTGGGGTGAGGGGATTCACCAGAGACAGAGTGGGGAGCAAGAATAGGCAGATTGGCTCTCATACTCTGCTGAGGGAAGCAGCAGAGGGCCCCCCCCTTTTTTTTACTTTGATGACTGATACTTTTGAGAATTCCATATCTTGAGTATAATGATTCTGGATGATGGCAGAGATGGGTAAAAGCACCTTAAAAAATTAAGATAATGGGCCCTCCCTGGGGCCCATAGCGGGGTAGAGCCCAGCACTAAGAAGCTAAAGCTACTTCAGTCCTCGCCCTGGAGGTGACCACATGGCGCCGCAGACCTCTCCTGACCCGCCCGCTGCTCCCCTCAGCAGTGAACTTCTTTGATCTGTCTGTTCTGCTCCCCACTCTATCTTGGGTGAAGCCTCTCACCACCCCCACACCTCTGGCCTGTACCCCAGTGCTGTATGCATAAATAATAAATCTTTTTTTTTTTTTTTAAGATTTATTTATTTGTGCATACAGAACTGGCCAGAGGCTCGGGGGCGCTGAGAGGCTTCACCAGAGACAGAGTGGGGAGCAGAACAGGCAGATCAACGAAGTACACTGCTGAGGGGAGCAGTGGGCGGGTCAGGAGAGGTCTGCCACGCCATGTGGTCACCTCCGGGACAGGCGGGGATCGAACTCATGCGGAAGTGGCTTTAGCTTTTCAGTGCTGTGCTTTAACCCGCTGCGCCACCAGGGAGGGCCCAATAATAAATCTTTTTTTAAAAAAAAAGTTTAGATAGTTATGAACCCACTAGTTCTCTTATGTAAATTATAAAGAAATTTTCAAAATACTTCTCCTGAAAGTATATTGGATTATCATTGAAATGTCTCTGACAGTACTTAAGTATGTATGAAGATGACAGCTAATAGATTAGGGAAAGATATTACTAAAATTATAACCTGAAACCTAGGAGGCTTGTCAATAGCTAAAGGAAACGCAGGTTTATTGTCTTAGAATTTTAGGAGAGGAAGTGATAGGGAATTCAAGTTCTCCTCAGCTGAAGAGAGGCTGTCAGCCTTCTAACTCATTTATTATTTTCTGCCTTGGAGTCTGGCAGTTAAATGAGAAATACTTTCCTCGGTGTTATTGTTTATTCTTCTTCCAAGATGTGTTGAGTTTCTGGTTGGTCCCGTGTACCGTGCTCTGTGCTGGGATTACAAGGGTGAAAGAGGCAGTCTCCACCGTCAGGTTGCTTGTGGTCTGGGAGGCAGGAGTAAGAGGACTAAATCTGGTGACTGGGAGGATAGAAAAGGCCTGATTAAATACTGCTGTGAGGTAGTATGTACCTACTTTCGAGACTGGGTATGCAGGGCCTCCCTAGTGGCACAGTCTCAGTGCTATCAAGCTGTCGCCAGCCACTGTGGCCTCCCCAGCCAGGGAGCTGCCCCACATGGTGCAATAGACCTCTCCACTCTCCTCACTGCTCCCCTCAGAGTACATTTCAGTCATTCTGCCTGTTTTCCCCACTCTGTCTCTGGTGTATCCTCTCACCAGAGTATTCACACACATTTTTGGTCTACACCCAGTTCTTGTATGCATAAATAGATAAAGTAAACCTTAAAAAAATGAAGAGAGATGGGGTATGCAGCTGGGAGTGGGTGCAGGGTCAGCCCTAAGGTGACTCACTCTGCTTGCTGACAGCTGGACAAGCAGAACCGGGCCAAGATCACTGATTTGGGATTCTGCAAGCCAGAGGCCATGATATCAGGCAGCATCGTGGGGACACCAATCCACATGGCCCCCGAACTTTTCACAGGTAAGCTAAAGGGCAAGAGGTGGGTTTGGCCAGGGCTCTTTACCTTAACCCTGACTGCTACCCTGTGGGGTACAGGCAAGGGAGAAACCAGAGAGCGGGACACCTAAGACAGGTACGGGGGAAATGAAGACATAAAGGAGTGAGGAGGAAAAGAGCAAATGGGAGTCACAAGATACTCTTTTAGATGTCTCTGGGTTATTAATGCCGTCATTGCCATAGTCAACCAATTACTTAATCATAAAGTACTGATTGATTAACTTCATATATATTAGGAGTTGTCTCCTATCATTAAACACCTTATAGTTGACAGATACGTTGAACAGAGCTAAAATAATTAGGGAGTAGAAACAGACAGCATATGATTAAGTGCTAAATTAAATGCTACTTAATGTAGTACTGGTGCTTGAGAATGATAAATCAAAGTTGAATTGTTTGGTTTTGTGGTAAGAGATAGGATTTCAGCTAGAACTTGAGTCAGATCTGGAAAAATCCATTGGTAGGGAGAGATAAGACAATTTTTTTCCTTCACATATACAATCCATTTAGTCCTCAATAATTCTGTGGGGATGTTAATGTATTTTAATGTCCATATCATGGATAAAATTAAGGTGAGCCAAGATTGATTTAAAAAGCTGCCCCAAAATATTGAGCTAGAAATGGGATTTGAATCTAGGTCCTCTGTCTTTAGAGGTCAATCATGGCTCATGAAGGAGAGAAAATTCTGAATGCTGAGGAAGGAGAAACATGAAGGAAATCATAGAGTAGAAAAAAGCACGACAAGTCAAATCTGGCTGGGGAATAGTAGCAGAAAAAGGTGGAGATAAACTTCACTGAACTTGAAATTCATAAGGCTTGGTAGGGAGGCAGTAAGGAGCTATTGAGCTGTTGGAGGTGAAGGAGGAAAGAAAATGTTTGTGGACAGTTAACTCAACAGCAGCAGGTAGAGGGGTTATGAATGGCAAGAACCAAAGTAAGGAAGCCAGTGTGGGGTCTCCAGAATTACATTGGTATGGTGCTGAGACCAGAGTAAGGGACAGGCTTGACATGAGTTCAGAGGAAGAAGGTGCACAATACTGCGATTGATATGAGTGACGAACAGAAAAGAATAATGCTGATGTGAACGTAGGGTGGAATTCACTGGAACAAGTACCTGTTCTTGGGTGTTAATTCTTAGGAAGATTTGACTACTCTTTTGGGCCCTGTGATTGTGCTATTGGCTATTTAAGCTGTCTACCTTATCCTGATTCAGTCTTAGAGATTCAGTCTTCAAGATTATCCAGTTATTGTGCATCGAGGTGTTTGTAGTAGATTCTTATGGTCCTTTGTGTTTCTCTGGTACCTGTTGTACTCTTGCCGCTTAGTTTTGGTTGTTTGTGAGTTTTCTGTCTTCTTAGTGAGCCCAGCTCAGTCACCATGTCTTCTTCACGTCACCACCTGCTCTAAAGCATGAATGACTTCTGCTGCCCAGAGTCCAGATTCTCCTGACTTTAAAAATCCTTATTCTGGTTCCTACCTGCTGACCTACTTGTATATTCCAAGTATGATCTTTCAGGAGTAATCTTTCTGTCTTCCCATGAAAGTAAAAAACCTTACTTTCCTTTTGCTTTGTCAATTTCTAGTCTTGGCTCTCTTAATATTTACTGCCTCACAGTAGCATCATTTTTTATACTGTAAAATGCATGTTATAAATACGGTCATCTGGCAGGTCATTATGAAAGATGGTCATTTTAAAGGCTTTACAAACAAACATGTCAAGACTGCGAGGCGGTCTTCCCAATCCCAACTCTGTCCTCCTCTGCTGTTGTAGGAAAGTATGATAACTCTGTGGATGTCTACGCCTTTGGCATTCTTTTCTGGTATATCTGCTCGGGCTCTGTCAAGCTCCCTGAGGCATTTGAGAGGTGTGCCAGCAAAGACCATCTCTGGAACAATGTGCGGAGAGGTAAGAGCACCAAGTCCCACTTGTCCCAACTCTTCTGGTGAGCATAGACGCCCCCAGGTGCCTCCTGCCCCCCTCTCCAGCCTCTCCACAGCCTGACCACATGCATGTTTGAGATGTTCTGGAATCCAGAGAAGACACTTAAGTCAAATCTTTCCTTAGCATTTTACTGAACTGTCTGAAATAAGTTTTTCCCTTTATATTTTCCTAGTCTTCAACTTCCTTCAGCTTGCTAGTGTGTTCCAGTTTTCCTTCACGATTAGATTGTGACCTAGCTAATCGTCACAGTGGAAGCCAAAGCTCATTGCGTTCCTTAGCAGCCTGAGCCCCAGCTGGAGAGCAGCTTTGAGCTGATCACGTCTCTTTCTTGTATTAGTTTCCCTCTCACAGCCCCTGGTCTGACTTTCACACTCCTTTCTTCCAAGGGGCCCGTCCAGAGCGCCTTCCTGTGTTTGATGAGGAGTGCTGGCAGCTGATGGAAGCCTGTTGGGATGGTGACCCTTCTCAGAGACCTCTTTTGGGCATTGTCCAGCCCATGCTCCAGGGCATCATGGACCGGCTATGCAAGTCAAAATTTGAGCAGCCAAACAGAGGACTAGACGACTCTACTTGAAAGCAAATACCTTTTTCTTTCATTCTTTTATTTCTTTCCCTTTCCTCACCTTTTGGTGAGTTCTCTATGAGGAGAACTTGACATTATTCATTACAGTGAGCTCCCAAGGGAGCTGTTGTTGGCTGGGCCACGTGAGACCTTTCCAGGCTGACTCAGGATGGCTGTTCCCTCCCCCACCAACCCCAGCTGCCCCTTCAGCACACTGTCCAGGGCATGAGTAGCAGCTGGAGAATGCAGTGCTCTGGCTTCGGAACTGAAAAGAGAGTCCACGCTACCATGGCCTGCTCACTGCCAAGTGGGACGCTGCAGTGCAGTAGTATTCAAAGCTATCGTTTTATAATTTTGACTCTAGTTAGGAATAGTTTGGTTCTACCCAGTTATCAGCACCCTTAGAAAATTTGAGCTTGGTTCTGGGATTGTTGGGACATAGGAACAAAAATATAATTTGTGGATGCCTGGTTCCAGCCACCTACAACCAGCTCTCTGGTTGCAAAGGTCTGAGGCCCCAGTGTGGGAGCCAGAAACAGAGAATGGGCTCTGTACGGCCAGTGAGTTTACATGTATGGGACGCAAAGGCTGACTTCTGGGGGAGGACTCCTAGCTGCCACAGGAGAAACATACACACCTGTGAGCACACTAGTGGGTTTCCAGTTACTGCTAACCCATGGACATAGTATGTTCTTCTCCCTGAGGGTTGGGACAAAAATTCTATCTCAAGATGGGTAAGCACCAATTAACCTGGTACTTAGGGGTGTGTGTCGAATAGCACTGACCCAAGGTGAAGTTGGTGGCACCTGAAAAGTGGGAAATGATCTGGAGGCTGTAAGCCTCCACACAAAACCCACTAGAAGGCTACTAGCCTGTTTTTTAAACCTGAAAGGTATCAAACACTTCTTTCTCTATTCTAGTAACGCTGATATTTTAAAAACTTGATCAATGAGATTTTTAACCAAAATTTCTCCTGTAGTCCATCCCATCTTTTTATCTTAGCTAAAGTGTCTTATGGGGGGGGGGGTGGAGAATCAGTGAGAACACTCTTTGTAGTGGTGTGTGCCCTCACCCCTGTGTGTGAGTGGGAAGGTTGCCCTCCCTGGCAGTAAGGAGGGGATTGCGGCCATTGGGAGAGCTTGTCACAAAGTGGGTATAACAGGAGAGACTGACTCTGGACAAAAGAAGGGAAACAAACATTGGTTCCTCTCGGAACTTGGCTTCAAACTTCCCTCCACCAAAATGGTCTGCTAGATTTAGAAAGTCAAGTGGGGAAGGAACAGATGGTGGAGGTTGGCGGCCTCCGTCCACCCGCCTGTGGCCCGGCCCAAAGTGGGTGAAGTGGGTCCCTGAGTAGGGGTGAGCTGGTGGGCAGATTTGCTCCTGAAAGTTGTTTGAGATCTGTCTCCATCCTTTGTAGCCATTAGCTGGGTGTAACTGGAGTCTGTAAGAACGTTTTCCTGTGACTTCAAGTTCTGTTTCAACTCTTTGACTGTCTTGGAGCCTGATATGATACATTGGAACATAGTATCCCCTTCAGCACTTGCAGCTCCTCCCAGGCCTTGCAGATGATGAAGTGACCCAGTTTGTTGGGGTTCTGCCGGGCCCCATCCCTGTTGAGGTGGAATGTTCAGTATCGCTTAGCAGTTTGAAAACCAACTTAGCGATACTTTGAGTCACTCTTTTCTTCTCAGCATTAGCTCACTATCCTTTGGGGACTATGATGGAGCTTCCAGAAGGCTAAACTTGAAGACAAACAGGGAGATACCGGCTCTGTACGAAAATTTGAGGACGGTATGTTTAGTGTCCTTTTTCCAGATGTCTGTTAGCTCTCACCATACAAGGAGTCTGTGCTCCCATCACGGAGACCATGTTCTCAGCATTTTGCAAAGTGTTAGTGTCCACCCTCACCCCACATGGGGCTCTTTGTCAGTTCATCCCCTGTGGCTTATTCTGCTCTCTGACACCGGTTTCCTAGCAAATTGCCCACACCTTTTTCTTTTTTGTCTGTGTGGGTAGGCTAGAAGGGAGGGACCCATTCTAAGAAAAGAGATAAGTAGTTGTGTTCCAGTTCATTTTTAAAAAGTATTCTGAGAAAAAGTGAAAAATACTCCTAAAGGTCTCCGGGCCAGCCAAAGTCCACAAACTGATATTTGGAGGTGTTATTTAAACACTCAGCAGGCTGAGTGCAGGAATGTCTGTATAGTGCGCGTATATCTGCTTTTGTTTATAATGTTGGCTAACTTGGAATCTTTGTTCCTCGGCACCCATTACTAGTGGGATGATGGGATGCCGGGAGAAGTACTGTATTGTATGTTACTTGGGAAGACACTGGGTATTCAGAGGAGTCTGCTGGCACTTGGGCAGCAGAGGGCTTGGCCTGGTCAAAGTCCTGCGGACCTGGCTTTGGTGGTAGCTGCCAAGGCTTAAGATGAGATTGTGGCTGGGGGAGGGAGAAGGGCAAGATGAAAGAATTCTCCTTACCGTGCTGGGTCCTGCTAGGCAACTTAATTACTACCACTTAGCCCCACCCTGAAAATGAGCACCTGGCCATGTTTAATGTTCTCGAAGTCAAGTCACTTACTTTGCTTCAGAACTGAATGGCGACAAACCTTCATGCCGGGCAATGGGGAGAAACATTGGGGGCCTGGCACGGTAGCCCACCCTGGGCCCAGGCAGGTAGCACAGGTCAGTTGGGTGGGGTTTCCACAGATGTCCTAGTTCCCTTGATCCTCTGCAGAGAGGGGTTCAGGGCTGACTGGAAGGAGGCTCTGCTCGACCTTCCCAGACCAAAGAGCGTGGGCAGCGGCTCTGTCAGTTCCAAGAGAACAGACACCTCATGTAAAACACTAAAGCTCAAGGGAGGCGGAGGAAAGGGAACGTTCCTGCCGCGGAAATGGGGGGACAGTAAGGCCCTCACCAGCCAGGTCAGCTTGGATACGTCTTTGTGTTTCTGCTCGAGCTCCCAAAGGGGGCCTGGGAATGTTTTCCCTGAGGAGAGAAGCGGCCTGGGAAAGGAGTGGCAGGACCAGAGTGCTAGCTGCGCTGAGTGACACTTTATTTCTTGGATTTAGCACCGAGAAGCTGAGCGGACGCGGTGATCGTAGTAGCACTTTGGGGAATAGACGCGCCCTCTGGCCTTGCTATGATGAGGTGGCAGGCTTGGTGTCCCGACTGGCTGATGGGGACCCCTTTGTCCTCACTCGCAGAGCGGGGTCAGCGGGACAGAGCGGGAAGAGCCTGTTGCCAGAGAGGAGCTGTTCTCTGAGTTTTCAAAACTTGAGTTTTTGGATTTGCTGGATCAAACAACCAGCCTTCCTTTTCAAGGACAAAAAATAGAATATCCTTCTAAATAGGAGATGTTATTTAAATTAGAGTTTTAAAAACCTCGATAGGGCTAGTGTGGTAACTCAGGTAAGCGGAGAAGCCTGGAGAAGCTCGTATCGCGGGTGATATCACGGGATGACGGTGCTGGGGTTACTCCCGGCGTCACTCCCAGGGTCACTCCCAGGGTCACTCACAGGTTATGCAGGGTGTTACTCTTGGACCAGCCTGCTTTATTCTGCTCTTTTGCTTAACAGAGTCGCAGGCCGCACGGACCTGTGAGGGCATTGAGTGAGGATTTACTGTATGGCGGCCTCCCTTGGGGGTTCAGTAGCACCACTGTTCTTAAAAGGTTTTATTTTTAACTTCATCTGCTTTGTTAACATCCAGTCCAGCCGAGGTGACCGCGAGCACCGTAGCGGCCAGGCATCTTACCCAGACGATTGGAAGGAAAAGTGGTTGGGTCCACTTGTTGTCTTTTGTCTTTATGTAATGTTTTTTGTTTGTTTTAAGGAACTAATGTTTATTACAAGGTTAAATCAAATTTAACATACTAAGTGTGTAGAGTCAAAGTGCAATAACAAGAGAAAATTACGTTGGCACAAACTTAGGTCCTTACACTCCTCCTCCTGTGCTTTCTGGCTCTCCCCGTAATATTGTTACAGCAAGCCCCTGTTAATTGTATTCTTACCAGATACAACTACGAGTTAAGTCTCCACTCAGTATATTTTGAATGCTTGGATTTGGTTTTGTAAGAGTATTCTGTATACTTGTTGGGATGCACAAACACCAGATGCGCTGCATAATAAAGATTCCATTGACGTTGTAGGCTCACATCTGCGTGGCTTTTCTTTTCCTCACCTCACTTCCTGTGTTAACAGGACCACCTTCCACACCATCCCACTGGGGCCTCTGTGGGCAGAGGACTCTCAGTTTGCCTGAGGAAAAGTTGATGGAACATGGAACCGTCCTGTGGGGCTTCCCCAGCCAGAGTTACTCTTGGTCTCTGGCCCTTGACATTAGCACCACAGAGTGTGGGGGAGGGGAGCCGGCAGCAGGACTGCAGGGAAGAGTGGGGGCCAAGTGGGGTGATACACATTTGTTTTTCAGAGCCTTTCCTGGGTTCACACTTTCCCCCAACTCCTCAGCGTGAGCTGGCAGCCCGCCCAGCACACACAGCCTTGCTACTCGCTGCTGCCCTCTGAGAGCGCAGGGCTGTGGCGTACAAGTCTGTCCACTTGGAATTTGTGCTTCGTTGACTTGGGCTCATCCCACTGTTCAGTCACTTGCTCAGCAGTGCCTGACAGGCCCCACAGCATTGCTGCACAGTGGCACCGTGTGGCCACCGTGCCACCTGCCACCTTCACCATACCATGCTGTCTGGCTTTTTGTTATCAAAAAGTGCTTGTGATTTGACTGCCACACAGATTTGGGCATAAGAGGGCAGTTCACATAGTTGGTATGTTTGTGTTTACATCTTAAAAAGCTCAAGCTGGGCCCTCCCTGGTGGCGCAGCGGGTTAAAGCACAGCACTAAGAAGCTAAAGCCACTTCCGCATGAGATCGATCCCAGTCTGCCCTGGAGGAGTTCCACATGGCTGGCAGACCTCTCCTGGCCCGCCCGCTGCTCCCTTCAGCAGTGTACTTCATCGATCTGCCTGTTCTGCTCCCCACTCTGTCTCTGGTGAAGCCTCTCGCCGCCCCTGAGCCTCTGGCCTGTACCCCAGTTCTGTATGCACAAATAAATAAATTAAAAAAAAAAGCTCAAGCTGAACCTCAGTGGTTCTCGGCCTGCTCCTACAAGTGGTCATTTAATGCTGACAGGCGTTACACCTGTGAAACTCGCCATTGGCTCCAGCTCTTCACCATCAGATATATTCTGACAGACACATGATGTTTCTTTCTGCTAGAATAAATTTTAATGTGACTGCTTTCTCTTTATCTCCTTTCTTACCACATTTGGACAAAATACCTGTGGTATACAGTTTTAGACTGGGTATGCTTTTTCAAGAATGTTCCTTTGCAGAATTTTTCCTGAGAGGGGAAGCTGAGGTGGCTTTCCTAGTTCTGTGTTTGGGTGGGGCCCCCATGGATAAGCCACCAAGTTTCTGAACACTATTAAATTCAACTTCATGTTTTCTACCTTAGCATGATCCCAGGGAGCCTAGGGATGGCCTGTCCCTTAATATATTCTAAAGGTAACATTTTATTTTTGTTTTTATTTTTTTATGTAGAAGAACTGGGGTGTGGGTCAGAGGTATGGGGTGCTGGGAGTAATGAGAGGATTCAATGTGAGTCACAAAATTAAAATGCAAAAGTATAAAATTTCTACAAGATAACATAGGAGAAAATCTAGATGATCTCAAGTATGGTGATGACTTTTCAATTCAGCACCAAAGGAATCATCATGAAGGAAAGAATTGATAAGAACATGTTTTGCTCTATTAAAGACACTATCAAAAAAATCAAAAGACAAGCCACAGACTGGGAAGAAACTATTTGCAAAAGATCTATAATAAAGAACTGACATCCAAAATATACAAAGAACCCTGAAAATTTAACAATAAGCAAGTTGGATTCTGCCACAACATAGTGAAATAGGGAGGCTTGGATGAACTTCTCCCCTAGGCACAATTTAAAATCTAGAGCTAGTCCACCACTAGGTAGATGGTCACCGTGGAGGTCAGCTGCTCCAGGACCTCGGACTGCCACATGTTACACGCATGTGCAGGAAGATCACGTCACGTCACTCCCCAAGCAGCAGTGGCAGATACATCCCTCCATGCCCATCTCCCAAAGATAACGACAACTGTGAGGCCCAGGTGGTTTGGGGACACTACAGAAGCCAGCAGGTTGGCCAGGTGGTCCAGCTCCACAGGAGAAGGACGCCACCTCCAGATAGTGGGTGCAGCGTGAGAGACAATGGCATGACTGTCCATGTGGCACTCACCTGAGCAAGGTGAGATCACCTTGCTAAGCTGGACGGCGATCAGAAAGAAATTCTTGAGCACACAGCCATATCTCAACAAGTTGGAAAGAGAGAGGTAAATACAAGAAAGAACTTGCTGAGGAAATGCAGAAACTTAATTGTGCAACTCTGGTTTCACTGTGGATTTTTAGTCTAGTGTGTCCTTGGAGACATTTCAATATGGCTTGAGAACATGTCATTGTCTTCCTGTTTTATTACTGGCGTTTGGCTCTGTAAGTCTACTTTTGCTGCTTTGATTAATAATGTTATAAATAAAAATTGGAGCTGTTTAAAAAAATCTAAAGTTTGGTCCCAGGAAATTTTGAAAGCTCCTTGCCAGTGGTGGTGGTGGGGGGGGGGGGTGCGGGGACTTGTTTCTGTGGATTTTTTTTATGATTTATTGATGCATACAGAACTGGGGTACAGGCCAGAGGTGCAGGGGCGGTGAGAGGATTCACCAGAGACAGGGTGGGGCATAGAACAGGCAGATTGATTATGTAAGCTGCTGAGGGGAGCAGTGGGTGGGGTCAGGAGAGGTCTGCTGCGCCATGTGGATCAGCTCCGCAGCTGGGTATTGAACTCGCACTGAAGCAGCTGTGGCTAGCTTGCTGCGCTGCATCCTAACCTGGTACACCACCAGGGAGGGCCTTCTGGGTATTTTATGCTAACGTCTGATTTGAGGACAGAGTCGGGAGAGATGAGGGGGATCAAGGCCAGACCGCTGGTCATTCTTGGCAGTGGAACAGGCGGGGGACCTGGGATGGACCGTGGCCTGTACAGTGTCTTTCCAGTGAGCTGCTCAGTGAGGGGTGGTGCAGGCAGGTATGCACATGTGGGGGGACTTTTGATTCTGTCTGCCAGCAGTAAGGGTGGTGGAGCCCCTGACCCTTGCCAACTCGGAAATCAAGAGACCTGACCTGGGGTGCAGGCCCCATCCCCCTTACCCAGTACCCCTGCCTGGTGGCTTGTGGCAACCCATGCCACTGTTCCCCAGTGTCCCTTGCCTGGTGGCCCACATCTGGCCTCCCTGTTCCCCACACCATGCCCCCCACACTGCAAAGACTTGCAGATAAAGGAGGTGGAGCCTGGAATTTGGGATCCTGAAACAGTGAACATAGTTTACTCTGGAGAGGAGAGGACACAGACTTGATCTTTTTTTTTTTCCTCTTGAAAGATTTATTTATGCATACAACAACTGGGGTGTATACCACAGATATAAGGGGGTGAGAGAACTCACCAGAGACAGAGTGGGGAGCAGAACAGGTGGGTCTAGGGAAATATACTGCTGAGGGGAGCAGCTCTTTAAAATAAATCTTTCAGGGCCTCCCTGGTGGCACAGGGGTTAAAGACACAGTGCTAGCAAGCTAGCACCAGCCTTTGCTGTGCGAGTTCTGTCCCCAGCCAGGGAGCTGACCCACAGGGCACAGCACACCTCTCCTGTCTTGCCTGCTGCTCCCCTCAGCAGTGTATGTCAGTAGACCCACTTATTCTGCTCCCCACTCTGTCTCTGGTGAATCCTCTCACCACCACCCCCTTTCCCACACCTCTGGCCTGTACCCCAGTTCTGGTAGGCATTAATAAATAAATCTTTAAAAGAGGAAAAAGAAAAGATGGGGAGAATCTAATTTTAACAAATACCAAACATATAGTTTTTAAAGATTTATTTATGCATACAGAACTGGGGTACAGGCCAGAGGTGCAGGAGCAGTGAGAGGATTCACCAGAGACTGAGCAGGGATCAGAACAGACCAATGAATGAAGTACACTGCTGATTGGAGCAGTGGGCGGGTCAGGAGAGGTCTGCGGCGCCATGTGTCACCTCCAGGGTTGGGGATCGAACTCATGTTGCAGTGGCTTTAGCTTCTTAGTGCTGTGCTTTAACCCTCTGCGCCACCAGGGAGGGCCCCCGAACATATTTTTAAATTAAATGAATAAATATTATATATACTGGCATACCTGAAGACAGATCAATGCAATATGCTAGAGTTCAGAAACTGTCCCGAATATATTCAGAAACTGTCCCATATATTAATACATGATAAAGGTGACATTTCAAAGAAGGTGGGACAGGAGTACTCAGCACGGGCTATTGGGACACTAATTGAGCGTTAGCGGACGAAATGGGTAACAATACCGATCTTACTCCTTGTAACAAAATTAATCATCTTAGTCCTCACATCATAATTAGCTGATATTATTCAATATAAAAATATTAAACATAGGGGGAAAATAGAAACAATGTTTTGGATTTTTAAAAAATATTTATTTGGCCCTCCCTGGTGGCGCAGCGGGTTAAAGCACAGCACTGAGAATCTGAAGCCGCTTCCGCATGAGTTCGATTCCCGCCTGCCGCCTGCCCCGGAGGAGACCACATGGCGAGCCAGACCTCTCCTGACCCGCCCGCTGCTTCCCTCAGCAGTGTACTTTGTCAATCTGCCTGTTCTGCTCCCCACTCTGTCTCTGGTGAAGCCTCTCACCGCCCCTGAGCCTCTGGCCTGTACCCCAGTTCTGTATGCACAAATAAATAAATAAATCTTTAAAAAAATATATTTATTTATTCATACAGAACTGGGGTACAGGCCAGAGATGTGGAGGGTGAGAGGCTTCACCCGAGACAGAGTGGGGAGCAGAACAGGCAGATTGATGAAGTACACTGCTAAGGGGAGCAGCGGGCAGATCAGGAGAGGTCTGCTATGACATGTGGTCACCTCCGGGGCAGGCGGGGATCGAAGTCATGCGGAAATGGCCTAAGCTTCTTAGTGCTGTGCTTTAACCCGCTGCACCACCATAGAGGGCCTGTTTTGGATTTTTAAAAAAATTTTTCTGTGTAGAAGAACTGGGGTACAGGCCAGAAGTACGGGGGTGAGAGGGCCCACCAGAGACAGGGTGGAGAGCAGACCAGGCAGATCTATTGAAATACACTGCTAGGGGGAGCAGCGGGTGAGACAGGACAGGAGAGGTCTGCTGTGCCCTGTGGGTCAGCTCCCTGGCCGGGGATTGAACTTGTGTTGCAGTGGCTGCAGCCAGCTTCATAGAGCTGTGCTTTAACCTATTACGCCACCATGGAGGGCCCTATTTTTGCCTTTTTATTTTGGCACTTTTTCTTATGCATTTTTTTTTTTTTGCAGAACACAAAGGACTATTTTAAAATTTTAAAAATAATCTGAGAGTGTCTTTTAAGATATTCTGAAAATCTGTATCAATTAGACTAACTGACTCATTTATTTTGCAAATATTTACAAGTATATTAAATATATACTATGCCTATATGTCCTTCCATTTCCAGGCACAAGGTATAGCTGCGAAGAAAATGGATAAAACACTTGCCTTAAAGATTTACACTTTTCTAAAGGGGATGAATAATAAGTTAATTGAAACTACTATGAAGGAAGATGAAGCAGGATAAGGGGGATTGAGGGAGGTGGGGGCGGCTCTTTTCAGATTTCTCCGAAGAGTTATTTCTGCAGAGACGAGGGAGTGGAGGTGGGTAGCGAGATTCAGGCAAAGAGAACAAAAACGCAAGATTCCTGATC